GGAAAGACCTTGATCAGATGATCTGCAGATGGAAGATGCATGTTTACCCGCCCTGGTAAGGAAAAGTGGGCTAAAGCAAGAGATTAATAAAAGAAAAGACAAATGAGTGCATCCATAAGGAAATGGAGATGAACTCAGAGCAAAATAGAATTTCAGAACAGCTAGACATTTAATGAAGGCCGTTCTCTAAAGCAGTGACCTTAAAGCTAGTGTACATGGAAATGCAAAGCCCTTCGAGGGATATGAGAGCATGGCTTCTTTGTTTTTAAGGGAAATCAATATTCAGTTTCTCTACCTCCCCACGTATTCTTTACTGAAATTCATCTTCTGGGAACATCTCTGATGGAAATACCTGCTCCTCATTCACACCTCCCCTCTCCCAATTAACCTCCACTCACCCACTAGGAATGTCAGCCACCATGGTGAGTTGCTCCCGAGTGTAAAAGCTCCACAGCAGAAAATAAAGAGATACTTCCTGATGTGAATGACTCACTACCAAACAAATCCTTTTGTAAGTCAGATAGTTGCTCATTTTTGCTTTAAAAAAATTGTAGGAAGTGCTGATGTCAGGTGGTAGATCATTAAAAATACCTTTTGATGATAGATATGTAATTTTTTTATATAAAACTTAGAATTGAAAGAATTACATAATACTCGTAGGCAAACTCTTTCCATTACCATGGACTTATAAAAACAAGCTTTCTTAGTATTTACATTGATAAAAACAAAAAATTGGATTAGAATTGATGCTAGATTTTCCCATTCTGGTCATAGGTAGCAGTCATCCACAGATATGTAAGCTAATTGGGAAAATAACCTACTATCTGTTTCATTAGGAATTTTTCATTTCTATTTTTTATTGGCAATAATGAGGTGTTGAAATTTCACAAATATTTATGATCAATTACACACTAATAAGGATTATAATAAAAACTAAACCAGAAGATATTTTTAAATACTTTGAATCTTTTCATTACAGTAAATTTTAGAGATTGGAAACTTAAAATTTTATATTCATATTTTAGTTAAAGACATGTGTGATACAGTGATCAATAAAGGAATTTCAAACCAAATTTTTAAAGATACTTTGGAATGAAGTTCTATGGGGGAAGGGAATGTAAATATGAGCTCATGAAAAAGAAGAAACAAAATTCTCAGCTCAAATTGATGAAATTGTTCGTGCATTTTTTAAATGGACGATGGTAGGTATCAAATAGCTATGGCATTTAGATTCTGCTGGATGCATTTGCAAGAGTTAGGTAAGAGTTTTATTTTTAAATGTCCATATTTACATTACACTAGAATTTTCATTCTTTGTCACTATTTAAACTCTTGATGGAAAATGTTAGATTTCAATGCAAAGTGAGGGCTATATGTTTTAACACTCTTTTTACGAGTATGTGAGACAAAAAATTTTAAAGGTCATTAGTCCAAAATTACTTTTAAGTCTGACACTATAATCCTTTTCCCTTTTGTGTAAGAGTATTAAAGAAAATAGCCTCTATCACTTATCAAGTATGTACAAAAGGCAAAACTTTTGTATCTAATCCTTACAACCACTCTGCAGGGGAAGTTAGATAAATCTTTCATTTGCAGTCAAGGAAACCAAGACCCAGTATAACATCAGGAGAATAAAGGGAGCCGAGCTGGGATCTGAACCCAGGCCCCCCTGTCACCAGGACCCTGTTGACTCTGCCCTTCATAGGAGGTTGGTCTGGTCTAATGATTCAGAATAATGTGCTAATAACAACAAATAACAGAATTAGCAGAACTCACCACCCCCAGGAGGCCCTCCTCAACTGTCAATCTCTCTTCTCACAAAGGATAGAGTTAATCCTTCCTTCCTCATGCGTCCCCATCCTTACATAGGCCATGTAGGACTGTGATTCATTTATGTGCCTTTCTCTCCCATAAGACTGTGACTGACTTGAGGGAAAACCATGCTTATTAATCTCTCTGTGCCTTTACAGCACTGCATGAGGGGCCTGGCACCCAGTAGGTCCTCAGCTGCTCCATCTCACCTATCTCTCCCAATTTAACTCTGGGTCTCAACCCTGGATGCCCATTGGAATTAAAAATCCTGATCCTCAGGATGTGCACCAGACTAATTAAATCAGGGTGTCTGGGGGTAGGGCCCAGGTACCAGCTTGTTTTAAGGCTTCCTGAGTGGTTCCAATGTGGAGCCAAGGTTGAGAACAATGGATTGGTGTTGGCACAGTGGAAAAGGTAGCGCTGTGATGTGACCCTGCCTTCCAACTTCTAACCCAACCTTCTGTACTCAAACATGCCTGTGTCAGTTCTAACCTTGCCTCTGCACTGCTCTGAGCACATCTCAGAGGAGACGCCTGCCTCAGTGGTTTCCAGTACCCCTGCCTTATTCTGGGGTGGCCAAGCCCATTAAACGTCAGTCTGTATTTGCGAGCAATGTACCGTATTTATATTCTCTTGGTAGCAGCTAGACCAGCCTTTCAATGAGGGACATGGCAGGTGGTCAGAGACTCACATTTCTGCTGAGCCCAAGGAATGGATACCATCTTGGACTTGAGCAGCCTAAAGAGATCAGGTTGTTCGTAGGAGCTGGGGAAGGGCTACAACCAACCGGGAACAGATGAGTTCGTTTGTGAGCGCACATTCTTGGGGAGCTGGAGGGGAGAGAGGGCAGGGGTCTCTCTCTCAGAGGTGCATAGAAAATGGGCTGGCAGGGCTGCCTTCTGGGCTCAGGACCTGAGTCTGGTCTCCCCTCAAGGCCACCCTGAGAACTCCGAGCTTCACGCATCTCTCAAGCTGTTCAGCTTCACGGATCAGCTCATCATGACCCGTGAACAGTGACTGTACAAGGCAGGAAGAAAACCCTTGGCTGTCAAAGGCTGGGAGGAATTTCCAAGCCTCCTGGGGATTAAAAACGTCTGTGTTGCTGCAGGAGGAGGAAAGGCGCCTTCTGTCAGTTTTTATTGAAGTGTTTCTTTTTGAGCAACAACCTCACTGACTTTGATGCAAGAATAAATTAATTCCAAAACCCCAACTTGAAACGTCCTGACTTCCTGTCTATTGTCTTTCCACCCACACAGAGGAGAAGCGGTGGAACCTTGTCAGTTTTCAAGAAGCCATTAGTGTGCCCATTTCAATGATGAGGTGCCTTCTTTATATGAAAAATAAAAAAGCTCCACTGAGCTGAAGAAACCTGATTTTCTTGGCCAGTTGGGGCTGACAACTTTGGTATTTTATTTTTAAATTTTTAAAAGAATCATTTGCGATGATTCTTCACGTAACCCCAAAAGTGTCATCTCTTATTTTTAGAATGAATCTGTACTTTTGAGGGAATACAAAATCCTCCCCAGGCTTTGTCTGGCTCATGTTATAAAGGGATAACAGCTCTAAAAGATGTGCAGGTCCCTCTGACTGTTGTACCTGCATCTTTCATGCAAGGTAATCAGGAAACAGAAGTTCTGCAGCTTGTCCAGTAAATCTGCTGCAGAACTGCAGCAAGGGCTCTGGGTGTCAGCATCTTAATTTCTGGCCAGCTCACCAAATCTCCTCTTGGGAATTCATTATTACACTGCCTTGTGCCTTGCAGAGTCAGTCAGAGTCAACTTTATTACTAAGCAGCTATTGTGTTGTATTAAGTGCTTTTACCTACTTTATCTCTTTTATGAGAATTTCAACATTTAAAAGTTATTAAGAATCCAGAATATGTTCCCTCTCTTCCTTCTTCTCTCATATGGACACACTTGTGTGTGTGTGTGAGTGTATGTGAGAATGAGAGAGAGAGAAAGGAGAGAATTACTGTGTTGTTGTTTTGGGGATGTTTGGAGAAGTTTCTGACAGTGAGGATGCAATATGTCCATCTTTTCCCTCCTTGGTAGAAGTCTCCATATGACATGAGCCTCTCTAAGAACCTCCCCAAATTGGGGCCTAAAGAAATCAGAGCTGAGATTCAAGTTGTCTTCACAGACAATATTTCAAGGTTAAGTACAAGTATCATTTCAACAAGGTAATTAAAAATGTTATTATTGCCCTCTGTTCCAAATGTGGAAAAGAGGAAGTGTTAGCAGGGGCCTTGTGTTTAGAGCTGTCTGATTTGACTGTACCTGTTCATTCATCCCCAACTGACCTCACACCCATCTGAGTTATTGGTGATGAACAGTGTGAATCCAGAGACTCGCCAGTGGGAAGTCCACTGCTGGAAGCTTTCCTATTACCTGTCCTTTTGGTTTCTCTGCACTTTCTGGTCACTAGGTTGTGTCACTCCCTGTGGTGCCTGGGTATCAGGTTATCATGGTTTATAACCAATTATGAGACTAGAAAGAACAGAAATCTCCCTGAAACTGGAGGACAGAGTCACTTTCTTTATTTTTCTGGTTTAATAGAAAAATAAATATTTTTCTGGTTTAATAGGTCAATTACTTGCTGCTCATTACTAACTAGCCCTATATTACAATCATACCAGGCTGTCAACTGAGATTTGCCCATATTTATATTTACACTGGTTCTACTTCAAAGAGCCTTCTTGATCAAACATGTGAACAGCTTCACCTCAATCTGGAAATACTGGAAAGGCAGAATAAATTCAGTTCAATGTAATTTATGTAAATCACTTCTTACAGGGAATTCTCTTGGTGGGCAAGGTCAATATTCATTATCAAGTAAAAATAAATGTAATACTGATCTGATCTCAAAATCGTGTTTTCTGTACAGACTTACAAACACATACACACACTGTCGTGGGCACACACACACACCTTCTGTTAAAGTTACCAACAGCTATTGAGGTCCATGAAACCCCACTATTAGGAGCTTATGCTGTGGAATGAGCTGGATCTGGGTTTAAATCCTGCCCTTGGGTGTGGAGCAGAGCACAGACCACTTCACCTCCCTGCACAGTTTTCCTCTTCTGTTAAACAACACCCATGACAGAATGTTTAATGTGAGGATCAGATAGAATAGTGCCCAATAAACCAGTGCTTCTCAAACTCCAAAGTGCATGCAAATCATCTGGGAATCTTGTCACAATGCAGATGCTGATTCAAATTCTCAAGTGGGACTTGATGAAGTTCCTAGGTGACGTTATGCTGCTGGTCCATGCACCAAACTTTGAGTAGCAAGGCACATACTGAAACTATAAAAGGGAAACCAAAATCGCTATCCAGTGGTCCTGCCAGACAAGTAAGAGAAGAAAGCTAAGAAAGGATTGTTTTGGTGGTCAGTGTGAGCTTGGCATGAACTCAGTTTCTCTAGGTGTGGAGAGGATAACACATTTGGGACAAAGCTTTATTCTGTCCTTTCATGAGCCTCAGCATAACTTCATTTCCATTCTTTGGCCCAGGGTCAGGCAAGGGCCACAGGAACCCACAGAGATGGGGAGTCTCATACCTGTCATAGTCTTGGCAAATCTCCCCCACAGCCACCAAGGCCTTCAGGTACTCATTGGGCTGGTAGGGGTGGATGTAGTGCAGGGAACAGCTGTTCCTGGGGTCCCCATTCGAAGCCGTGAAATCTATAGCTACCTGGAAGAGAAGATAGGCAAATGGGTGGATTTGATTTAAAATGAACACATTTCATAGGAATTGTGATTAGCCCTGAGAGAGACACAGCTGGTGTGTGTGTGGGGGAAGCAGTATGTTACACACCTGCCAATAAGCAGAGTTAGAGAAGAAATTCATCAGCTTTAAAAACTAGTTATTCAAATAATGGAGAGGATGTGGAGAAAAGGGAACCCTCCTGCACTGTTGGTGGGAATGTAAATTGGTGCAGCCAGTATGGAAAACAGTATGGAGGTTCCTCAAAAAACTCAAAATTGAATTACCATATGACCTAGCAGTCCCACTCCTGGACATATATCCAGACAAACTCTATTCTAAAAAGATACATGCACCCCTATGTTCATAGCAGCACTATTCACCATAGCCAAGACGTGGAAACAACCTAAATGTCCATCCGCAGATGAATGGATAAAGAAGATGTGGTACATATATACAATGGAATACTATCCAGCCATAAAAACGAATGAAATAATGCCATTTGCAGCAACATGGATGCAACTAGAGATGATCATACTAAGTGAAGTAAGTCAGAAAGAGAAAGACAAATACCATAGGATATCACTTACATGTGGAATCTAAAATATGACACAAATGAACTTATCTATGAAACAGACTCACAGACATAGAGAACAGACATGTGGTTGCCAAGGGTGAAGGGGTGTCAGGGAGGGTTGGAGTGGGAGTTTGGGATTAGCAGATGTAAGCTATTATATATAGGATGGATCAACAACAAGGTCCTACTGTATAGCACAGGGAACTATATTCAATATCTTGTGATAAATCATAATGGAAAAGAATATATAAAAATAATGTATATATATGTATAACTGAGTCACTTTGCTGTACAGCAGAAATTAACACAACATTGTGAATCAACTATACTTCAGTAAAAAAAACTAGTTATTAATTTGGTTGAGGCCATTTCTATAGTCTTCAACCTCCCTCTCCCCTATGCCCTCTCTTCTCCTTGTCCAAAACAGAACTTGAGATTGACGTCCAGGTTAGAAAACCCAGCATCTGATCCACGACGTCACCAGGCAGCAAGGGTAAGGGTGGAATATTGTAAGAGTCCTTAGTGCTCTCCGGGAAGGATGATTCCATCTCTGAGGCCTAGCTAAACTCCCTCAAAACTAAATACTGTGTTAAAGACGTGGTCTGTATAACAAAGCCACTGCTATTTTCATGAGTGACCAGTTGCAGAGAGAGATGCTGAAGTGCTTATAATAAAATTTCTGCCAGAAGCAGCTCTGTGTAAGGCTCATTCACGTAAAAACCCACCCACAACAGAGAAGACGCCTGTAGTCTACAGCATTGTCAGTGGCAAGTGGAGATGAGAAACCTCTGTCTGGCCACCTAGTGGGCATTATTTTTGAACTTAAGTTTTTGCTGACCCCCTACATCATCATCATCTAAATAAAAGTTGACTCACAGGACAATTTTATTTTTTTAATTTTGGCTGTGTTGGGTCTTTGTTGCAGTGTGCGGGCTTCTCTCTAGTTGTGGCGTGTGGGCTCCAGAGCATGTGAGCTAGTAGTTGTGGTGCGCAGGCTTGGTTGCCCCGAGGCATGTGGGATCTTAGTTCCCCATCAGGGATGGAACCTGTATCTCCTGCATTGGAAGGTGGATTCTTAACCACTGGACAACCAGGGAAGTCCCACACAGGACACTTCTTAACAACAACAACAACAACAAAATTCTTTAACCTGGGGGTGGTGCTAAAACGGGAAGGTGTATTTCTTCTGATTTCTAATATCATCACCAATTCAATGAAACTTAACCCAGAAAACACCTCTCCAAAGAAATGCTTAATCTTGGAGGTACAGAGTGGGGAGAGAGGGATTAAAATGAAAGGAGTTGTAGAGAAAGAAAGGAGTGTTCATGGTGCATCCAGCCCAGCAGAATCCATTCACTGGCTGACTGATGACAGAAGAGCTCTATTTTCTCTTAAGATCTTTTGAATGGGGAAAGAAAGGAATGTTCATGGTGCATCCAGCTCAACAGAATCCATTCACTGGCTGACTGATGATAGAAAGGCTCTATTTTCTCTTATGATCTTGTGAATGACAAGTGCTATTTGCATAACATTTGACAAAATTCCATTATAACAAACCACTGGAATATCTCATTGGATTTAAGGTGGGATGCTAGTTCTGGAAGGACAGAGGAAAGGGGCTATGTGCTCTGTGTCTGCTTCTGAAAGACCAGACTCAGTAACACTGGTGGAGAAAAATGTCACCTCATCTTATATTGTAAGTCTGCAATCAAATCAAAGTAACTGGAAGGGAAAAAGCATTGACTAACAGTAATTCACTAACAACCTCTCTTTTGTTCCTTTGTAAAGTTATTCTTTCATCACTGAATTTTCCCCTTTTCTTCCTCACCCCTCCACAGGACTATGTTGAAAATAAATTTAAGCAGGATTCAAATTTTATTTTCAGAACCCCCAGATGTTTTCAATAACGGAGTACAAACTGATAAAACGCTAATATAATACTAAGTGTTTCAAAAGAAAAGGTCATATGAGTATTCCCCCAACGCTTAGAAGCCCTTACTTTGGACAAAAAAGGGAAGAAGGGAGGGGTAACCTCTGTTGAAACCCTACTATGTGTCAGACACCTGCACTGGCAGCTTTACAGGCATTGTGTTATTTCATTCTCGTAAAAACTCTGGGAGGTAGAAATTATTATTCCTTTTTATTGATGAATCTGACGCTCAAAGATGATGAAGGTCACAAAGTCATAGGGGATGGAGCTGGGTTTAAACCCAAGTCTATATGGTTCCAAAGATTCTGCTCCTTCATCATATCATTATATACCCAAGAGAATGAGTAAGTCTGTGGCTGGGATGTCCAGACATCTCGTGGGCATGTTTTATTCTTATGAAGGATGAGGAGATTTGGCCTGGAGATAGGGATATTAACCAGGAGGCAACTACAGTAATTTAGGAGAGAAGAAATACCTTGAATGAACAGCACTTTATGACCAAAGCAACTGTAAAAGGTAGGAAAACAGCAACTAAAGTGTGTGTATATGTGTGTGTGTGCACGTGTGTGTGTATGAAGAACAGTGGGAGTTAATTTCTTCTGTACAGCAAAGTGACTCAGTTATACATATATATATTTTTTCATATATTTTCCATTAAGGTGTGTCACAGGATATTGAAAATATAGTTCTCTGTGCTATACAGTAGGACCTTGTTATTTATCCATTCTATATATAATAATAGTTTGCCTCTGGTAATCCCAGATTCCCATTCCTCCCCTCCCTTACCCCCCTGACCTATGTCTGTGAGTGTTTTTGTTTTTCAGATATGTTGATTTGTATCATATTTTAGATTCCACATATAAGTGATATCATACAGTATAATCAAGTATACTTCAATAAAATAAAAAACAATGGATAAACAACAAAGTCCTACTGTAGAGCACAGGGAACTATATTCAGTATCCTATGATAAACCATAATGGAAAAAAATACGAAAAAGAAAGTATGTATATGTATAACTGAATCACTTTGCTATACAGCAAAAGTTAATACAACATTGCAAATCAACTACACTTCACTAAAAACATTAAAATAAAAAAAAAACATTTAAAAAGAAAAAAGAAACTGAAACAGTGGGAGAATGGGTTACTGAGGACGACTGGGGTTGACCTAAAAGGACCAGTGAAGGGTTTCCCTGGTGGCGCAGTGGTTGAGAGTCCGCCTACCAATGCAGGGGACCCGGGTTCGTGCCCCGGTCCGGGAGGATCCCACATGCCACAGAGCGGCTGGGCCCGTGAGCCATGGCCGCTAGTCTGCGCGGCGGGGCCCGTGAGCCATGGCCACTGAGCCTGCGCGTCCGGAGCCTGTGCTCCGCAAATGGGAGAGGCCACAACAGTGAAAGGCCCGCATAACGCAAGGGAAAAAAAAAAAAAAAAAAAAAAAAAAAAAAAAAAAGGACCAGTGAAATCCAGTATCTTCTGAGATAGATTTCATCCTGAAGGTGAAAGCCAAGCCACTGAAGAAAAGAGAGGAAGACAACATGAACTGGGGTGAAAAGCTAGTTGAGGTGGCAGGAGTGGTGTTGGGGAGCCTGCATGCATTTTGTGAACGAGAAGGAGGTGTAAAGCATTCCAGGTCTCACCCATGGGGCCCCAACCAGACAGAGGTCCAGATACATGCAGACAATCCCTGGAAAACTTCTCCAAGGAGGACACTCAAGAGGTACCTGAGAGACAGTATTTGGAGAAATCAAACATCTCAGGGACTCTTGGATGTACTAAGCTCCAACACACAACCACCATTCTCTGCCTTTTTGTCCTGATGAGACACACTTAAGAGATCGTAGCACTTCACATGTGTACATAGTGTTTAGAAGGTAAAAATAGTGCTGGGAAGGCTAGAAGTAAAGCCACCTCTTTCTCTTCTACTGAGGAAAGCACTTTAGAGCTGTAGAAAACTCTAGAGGATGCAAAGATGTTATTATGGAGACAACCTTGATTCTGCTCTGATTTATTAATATCATTGCAAGTATTGCAAATCACTGGCAGGTTTGATATTTTATTATTAATAATGAGTACCTGTGGCTCCCCTCACTTGTGTTTATGATTCCCCTCTTCATGGAACATCCCAATCTACCTGTGTTTCTTAACACTTCAACTGACAACCTGTACCATGTGTTGATTACCTGATTGTCAAGGGTATCCTGTGATGACAAAAAATACGCTGGTGTCTTGATGTAAAACCAGAGAATGAAATCAGATAATATAAAGAACAGAGGGAAAAACCTCCATAAAGAAAAATGGCAACTCAAGCAACATAATTGAACATCTTATCTTCCCAGGCATAGGCAAGATCCTCCAAGCATGCAGGCACCAAGTGGCAGCATCTGAGCCCAGGTGTATCACCTGGATGAGTACCTGTGGTATGGGGAGAAGTGGATGTAACATCTGAATGAACTTAACAGATTTTGGCAACAATCTA